ACTGCACACTGACAAGCTGTTAAAAGTCAGTGGCAGAACGCAGTCTCAGGTTTCGCTACTACTGCTTCTTTTGAGTGAGCTGTTATTTCAGGCAATATGATGCCTGTTTATTAGCACTGCACACAGGTGTGCCTAAATACATATGCACACAAAAATGAAAAAAATTGGAGCTGAAAATGCGCGCAGAGTAAAATGTTACTACTGATCTAGTGATATATTAAAATAAAGGTAGATGATCAACAAAAAGCGGCCCAAAAGAAAGCCATAAAGAAAGTAAAACACATAAAGGAATATTTTAAAGAAAATATTTCTAAGACGTTTAATGCTGCTGTCACTGTTGCAACTGCTTTGCAACTATATTCTTTTTTCTAATATCATCTTAAACGCTTAATTGGTGATGCTTCCCAAGGTCACCGCGAGTTTCCGCGATTGACATGGCGACTGTCGTATTTGTCCCTCGTTTTATATTGGATTGCTTTGATGTGAATGTGCTGATATCAGTACCAAATAAAGGTCATTAGGTTTTGAAAGACAAATGTTTATTGACGCTCTAGATGGCAAAGATGGGTTGATCGTACATTTGCGTACACTTCGGTAAGTCAGTACAGATTTTATTTGTGTATGTGTTATCTGAATCGGGCGCTCAATGGTTATAAAGCGCAGACTTAACAAAGTGTTCAAGGTGTAACTTCGGCTAGGGTTTATTCTTGTCCGTTTTGCATATTCTTGCACTTTTTAATGATGCCCTTTTGGTACATTCATACATTGAGAGGGCCTATTTTATTAGCTTTACTTTCGGGAAAGTGATGTTTGGCAATATGTTTTGGTCCTCAGGAAGTGATTGAACTTGCTGGGCTCAAAAGTTTTGCGACTGGTCCACCAGGTGTCTTTGAAACACCCCAGGATGAATGCACCGTCAGCAAGAAGTGGTGTCCGCGTCGTTTTTCCGGTGATCATTTACTAGCTGTTGCCTGCTCATGGAACTAAAACTTCGTTCCTCCTAGGTGAGCATTTGTTATTTTGCAG